TCCATTTGCGTCATTACAGTTAACTCTACTTTGAGGAGGCAACTCTCCCTTAGTCACATTTTGAGTGCCTTCCAAATTGAGGAGCTTATCTTCTGCTAGTGTGTCTGACAATCTTCTGATGCTCTGCATCATGTTGCAGTATTCAATATTCTAGTGCTGACAGTGTTCCACTGCTATTCAATAGATTTTCAGTGATGAAGTATTCAGAAGTGGTCTGTCTCTCCTTCTTCCTGTCTCTCTTCTTCTATCTTGTCTGGAAGCTTAGCTGAAGCCTGTCCACTGTGAGTGATCCTGTTGATGCTTGAAATAACCATGGCATAGCTTCCCAAATCACAGCAACACACAAGCCACCATAGCACGAAAACTGACAAACTAGTTATGGCCATAAAGATTACTGCCTCAGAAACCTTATACAGTATTTCTATGAGTTGGAACTCGATGGCACACAACAACAACAAAAAGAGGTTTATATGAAGGAAATGGCTTACAGAGTTGTAGAGGTTGCGAGTCTAAGGTCTGTGCATCAGATGACATGCTGGAGGCTTCTACCTCATATAGCTTTAGGGCTGATGAACCCAGGATCACCAGGTCAGACAGGAAGGCAGATTAGACAGATTGAGCAGATAAGATGGCAGGCTGCTGATTACTCCCAGGACTGGCAGGCAATAAAGCACACTGCTTGAGTTTGGATGATGAGCCAAGTGCAGGGTGTCCATATCCATCAAAGAGTAAGCAAGCTGTGCCTGAGTCTCCAACACATTAGAAGCAGGTAACAGCTCTGAGAAAATGTCTTTTTGATTGATTATTTTTTCATAATAGATCTCCTCATGGAGTTGATGATATTAGATCTCATCATAGGGGATGAACTCCTATGTCTTAACTGCCAAAGCATTGAGAATCATGACCCAATCAAGTTGACACAAAACCTATACTACCACACTAGTCAAGATTTGCATCACTTAGTGTGAAGATAGAGTGGCTTTCCTTGATCATAAAGTACTGTGAAGGTGGGCAAATATGAAGTGGTTTCAAAAAATTCATGGAAAAATGGAATAAAAATATAATGAAGTGGGGAGGCAGCAAGATGGCTGACTAAGCAGTAAAACTAAACAGATTCTACAACAAAAATATGGGAAACCAAACGAAACAGATGCTGGTGATAGTCCTGGGACCCTGAACTTTAGATGAAGGGATGCAGAAGTTGACTGGTTATTTACCAGGAGAGGAAGCTTAATAAACACAGCAAAAAAGGAGACAGACTTGTGACCTGGTTGATGACCAGACACCGTTCAGCCATCTTAAACTTTTGTGAGTAGTTTCAGAGACAAGACAGCATATTGGTATTTTAGAGACATACCAGTGATTTACAGAGATAAAGGTACAATTATTTTCTTTTTGTTTCTCTAGAGGTGTGGCCAGTCCACACCTGATATCCACACCAACCTCAGTGCGTGGATTCAGGTGATCCCCGCTCCAAACCTGCAGAGCCAACCCTAGCCAGTCCTGGACTAGTCCTAACTAAGAAAATCAGCTGAACAGAAATGTGAGTTTTATGTGTATGGGGGTGGGAGATAGAAAAAGGAGACAGGGAAGCTGTAGTGGTCTATCAGGCTCAGCACAGCCATCTTAAGCTTTTGTGGGTGGCTTTGAAGGCAGAGGGT